CTGCGCAGGAAGCAGCCAATAAGAGAGGGGCTGTGAGAAGCAGCCAATCAGGGCCCAACAGGCCCATATAAAAAGAGACCCAGGCAGTGCACGGCCAGTTACTCCCTGGAGCTTAAGGAGTGTGGACTAGGTGCCTTGAAGATAGAGAGAAGCTAGTGCCCTGAACAGAGCCATGCTGGGCAGGAACGGGGAGTAGAGGGAGCTCCTGGCTGGGTGCTAGGACTGGCATCCTGATGCGAGGGTGAAGAAGGTGCTGGGACCATGGGGAAGTGGCCCAGGAAAATGTATTGAGTTGAAGAGGATGCAATATGTGGCTGCCATCTACAGGGTCCCTAGGCTGGGAGCCAGAGTAGTGGGCAGGCCTGGGTCCACCCCCCTCGCCACTGGGGAAGTGGCTGGACAGTTGACTGCAGGGCCCCCAGATGGTGGGGAAGCAGAGATTGTGACATAGAATCATGGAATATCAGAGTTGGAAGGGACTTTAGGAGGTCATCTAGTCCAACCCCCTGCTCAAAGCAGGACCAATCCCCAGACAGATTTTTACCCCAGTTCCCTAAATGGCCCCCTCAAGGATTGAACTCACAACCCTGGGTTTAGCAGGCCAACGCTCAAACCATGAACAGGATTCTGTGGTCCTTGGAGTGATGTGGGTTTGGGAGCAGACATGATGGCGGGCGAGACACCATTGGGAGAAGACGTACCGACCTGCAGTACTAATCCCCAAGACAGCCATCAGGAGGCGCCAGTGTGGTGAGTGGATCCCCCATCACAGGTAGGGTTGCCAATTTTGGTTGGCCATATTTCTGGAGATTTCATCACATGACATAATCTTCAAATAGAGATAATCATAGGACTGGAAGGGACCTCGAGAGGTCATCTAGTCCAGTTCCTTGACAGTTAGAAAGTTTTCCTAATGTCCAACAGTCAACTGTCCAGCCACTTCCCCAGTGGCAAGGGGGGTGGACCCAGGCCTGCCCACTACTCTGGCTCCCAGCCTAAACTGCCCTTGCTGCAATTTAAGCCCATTGCTTCTTGTCCTATCCTCAGATGTTAAGGAGAACAATTTTTCTCCCTCCTCCTTGTAACAAACTTTTATGTACTTGAAAACTGTTATGTCTCCCCTCGGTCTTCTCTTCTCCTGACTAAAAAAACCCAATTTTTTCAATCTTTCCTCAGAGGTCATGTTTTCTAGACATTTAATTGTTTTTGTTACTCTTCTCTGGACTGAAATGTGGCGCCCAGAACTGGATACAATACTCCAGTTGAGGCCTAATCAATGCAGAGTAGAGCGGAAGAATAACTTCTTGTGTCTCCTGCTATTACATCCCAGAATGATATTTGTTTTTTTTTTTTTTTTTTTTGCAAGAGTGATATGTTGACTCATATTTAGCCTGTGATCCACTATGACCACCAGATCCTTTTCCACAGTAATCCTTTCTAGGCAGTCATTTCCCATTTGGATGTGTGCAACTGGTTGTTCCTTCCTAAGTGGAGTACTTTGCATTTGTCCTTATTGAATTTCATCCTGTTTATTTCAGACCATTTCTCCAGTTTGTCCACATCATTTTGAATTTTAATCCTATCCTCCAAAGCACTTACAACCTCTCCCAGCTTGGTATTGTCTGCAAACTTAATAAGTGTACTCTCTATTCCATTATCTAAATCATAGAAGATATTGAATAGAACTGGACCCAGAACCGATCCCTGTGGGACCCCCTTGTTATGCCCTTTCAGCTTGACTGTGAACCACTGATTACTACTCTCTGGGAATGGTTTTCCAACCAGTTATGCACCATCTTACAGTAGCTCCATCTGGGTTGTATTTCCCTAGTTTGTTTATGAGAAGGTCATGCGAGACAGCATCAAAAGCCTTGCTAAAGTCAAGATATACCAAATCTACTGCTTCCCCCCATCCACAAGGTTTGTTACCCGGTCAAAGAAAGCTATTTGGTTGATTTGACATGATTTGTTCTTGACAAATTCATGCTGACTGTTACTTATCACCTTATTATCTTCTAGGAATTATCTTTAATTCCTGGAGATTCCAGGACAATCCTGGAGGATTAGCAACCCTTGGGATGGGGGCAGGAGTCTGGGTTAAGAAAGAGGTAGAGGCACTGTGTAGCGAGGTGGTCACCCCGCTCCGGCCCTGAAGGGGTAAAAGCAGCCCTGGAGAGGGCTGCAGCTGGGAAAAGGTAGGCTGATGGGGAAAGCAGCCACAGCTGTGGCCAGCTTAATCAGGGCCCAGCTGGCCCTTATAAGAGGGCAGTGGGACAGAAGCTAGGGCATATGTTCTCTCTCTAGCTTCTTGAGGGAGAAGGACCTGGTTGCCTAGGAGCTGAGAAGGGTACCTGAGGTAGAACAGTGCTGGGGAAAGGCAGAGGGAGCTGAGGAGCTCCAGCCTAGAAAAACCCCAGGCTGCAGGCCTTAAAAAGGTACTGGGGCTGCAGAGGGGTAGCCCAGAGATAGGCAAAGGCAGTAGGTCCTAACCCCCTTGCTGATGATGAGTGGTTTTCAGACTGCAGTCGGCCCCAGGGAGCGGGGCCTAGATGATGACTGGCAGTAGCCACTGAGGCAAGGTGGGTTTAGAGGGCTGGGGGTTCCCCTGGGAGGGGAGACCCAGAGAGAGGGGGTACTGTGGTGGACAGAACCCCTGGGCAAAGGGCACTTGGGTCTGGGAGGGACACGGGGCTAGCGGCAGATGAGACACCAGCCTGCAGAGGGCGTGCTGGGCTGGAAAGAGCTAATTCCCAAGATGGCCAGCAGGAGGTGCCACACCAGTGAGTCATCACCCTGCCAGACAGCAGCAGAAGGGAAAACTCCAGGGATAGAGAGGGGTAGAAGGGATAAAAGTTACCTCAAATGAAGTGAGCCCTCTGCAGTGATTGCAAAAATAGGATGTTGGGGGGCAGAGGGGCTTTTTCCTCCCTTGCAGGAAGATACATCTCAGCACCCGCTTCCCAGGGCTGTGTTCTCAAGGGCACAGTGCATCCCAATGCCTAGATAAGGCTGCGCTTCTTTATCTGAAATGATGTATTGAGCTGCTAAAAAAGACTGGACTTGGTGAAATATTTTACAGGTACCCCCCCCTAAAAATTATAATTGTCATACATGGTGTTAGTGGGTTTTTTTTGGTTTTGTTTGTTTGTTTTTTAAAAAACCTAATCCAGGGGTGCTGGAACAGGATGGGCCGGGGGCAATGACCCCATCACTTTTTATCTGCCTTAAGGTTGAGCAGTGGGGTGAGGGGCGGAGAGGAGCGAGTGGAGGTAGAGCCTCGAGGGAAGGGGCAGAGCAGGGGCAGGGCCATGGTTTCGGTGACAGTTGCCCTCCCACTTCTAGGAAGCTTCTGGCGCTCCTGCCCTAATCTGTTTATATGTCTGCATAAAGCCTCATGGCAGTTCACAAATTTGTCTTGGCTGCTGTTCAGATTACAAGAAAAAGGCAGTCCAATTCAGGCAATGCACTGTAAATGTAGTTTCATTCCTTTAAATTATTTACTTTTTAAAATGCTATTTTTATTACTCTTGGCATGTCATCATGTTCCTTCATTATAATTGTGCAGATGTCATTGTGCTTTTTATATTTTTATTAGCAAATAGTAATTCATATTTAAATAGTTGCTAGTAGCTTCAGCAATCACATCTCACTTTTGTAATTTACATTTTTTAATTCTATTTTTTTTCTTTATTTTATGACAAGTTTATTCTTCAGGCTCATATGCATACCAAGTCTGACTGATTTCCTGAGTTGATATCAAAACTTCTTCAGTTTCTTTTGATCTGCCAATGGGGATCACCTTAGTCACTGTTGTTTTGCTTCTCTATCCTGTACCCTAGTGCTTTTTCATATCACCACTTGTGTGTAGAACTTGGTTCCCAAATATTCTCTGAGGGACAAAAGGACCTAGAGGCTTTTGAGAATCCCACTATAACATTCAATGCCACTTTGGACTTCTAAAGTAACATATGGTTCCCCTCCCACACACACTTTAATTTAAAATGTATTAAAAGTTCTTATTTCTGTAAATAATTCTCATCCTGCAAACACAGAAACACACACTACTCTTCTATTATTTCATTTGCTGTGTACATGTTTTTTCTTCTGAATTGTTTACATTTCTAATTGAAGATTTAATTTTATAGCCTTTAGGTTTGCTGCCTATTTTGTTCTGATACATTTAGGTGATGTTCTTCATTCTGACAAGTTTACTTTTTGTACTTCTTGCCAAAATCAAAGATATTTTTACATAAATTATTCTGTTACTTCTTTGCATTGGTTGGGCAGAGGCATAATGTTGACCTCACCTAGTTTACCCTATGGTGAAACTGAAGTGCCTTGTCTCCTCATTGTTTTTAGTGGAATAGCTAATGTATACTAGATCCCCCGCACACCTTGTTAGCAGTGAGGCCACAAACTATAATGGTGACTCGGGTGTTAAGTGCACTTATTCCTGTCCATGTCTTGACAACTCCGATACTGGGGTAATACTGCTCCTTTGCTATCAGAGGTATGTGCATCCCAGGGCCCGAGGCCTGCGGGTTGTGTAGATGACAGGGAGAACCAACTTCAGCATTTTAAACTCAAGGAATTAACAGTCTCTCCTCCCCCCGCCTTCAATTTCCCGTATTCCCTCCCCTGTGCTTAATAAGGGCTTGTCTACATGGCCACACTAAAGCTGTGACGTTCATGCTTCACAATCCCCCCTTCCACCTCCGCCCACCCATGGAGCTGGGTCGAGGCGGGCGGAAGTTGCTCGCTGCGACATGGGGAACCTCCCTGCAGTATCCGCTACCTGCCGCAAATTACACCGGAAGCAGTTTAATGTTACACCTCCCCCCACCCCGACTCCTCTCTGAGCGGGGCGCCCGCAGCGGGTGCCGGGGGTTGGATGCGGGTCTGTTCCCGAAGCTCACGTCATGCTATGCCTGCGCTGAGCGTGGCCCCTCCCTGCAGCAGGGCGGAACCGAGTTGCTCAGGGCGCGGTGTCCGCGGGGGGCTGGTTTGGAAAAGGACCGCGCCTCCCGGAAGTGTTGGGGGTGGTGCCTGATGCAGGAGGCGGTGGCGCGGAGCCTGCGGCGGGGCTTGGAGAGGCTGCGACCGCTCGCGAAGAATAAGACGCTGCGATACGGGGTCCCCATGATGGTGAGTAGCAGGGGGCGGGGCCTGGTGGATGGGGCGGGGCCAGTAGCGCTGTTCGCGGCCGGCAGGGGGCGGGGCCTGTGGCGCTCTCCGGAGCCGGCCGGTGCTGCTTGCTGAGGCGAGCCGCGTGGCGCCGGCGAGGGAGCGGCCTGTGCGCGAGGCCGCCCGTGACCCCGCTACTGGGAGGCTCCGCCGCGCCCAGGCCGTGTCTGTGGGGGGCGTTACCGGTTCGGTTCCCGTCCCCGGCGCTCCGGTCTCGGCGGAGCCCGGCTGAGGCCGCCGTGTCGTGCCCGGCTCAGGGGGCGCTGTCCCCGTGCACCTCGCCTCCGAGCCCCGCTGTGAGCGGAGCGCTGGGGTCCCCTTCTCCGCTTGCCGGGGCTCGGTGCGGAGCCGGGTCGCTGCTGTCAGCTCCTGCTGCTAAGAGCGGACTGGCCCCGCCTGAGCGGGTTGGGTCGTGGCGGACCCCGGGAGACGCTAACCGGGGCGGGCAAACCCCGATTTCTTTGTGAAAGACTTTCCGAGCGCGCTGTTCAGAGGCTGCGCTGTTGGAAACTTGGTTGGTTTAAATCAGGCGCTTAGACGATGGTGTTGCTGGTGTTCGTTGGTTTACATAGAGCCTTCCCTGCCTGGCTGCATCGCTCAGGCCTGTTAGGCACATAGGCCAGCCCTACTCCCACTATAGACGCTGCTCGGTTATGAATGACTTAGCTTAACCTCTCAGCGGGTTAGATTAACTACAGTGCCCTTCCCTAGATGTAGGAAGCGTCTGTGCTGCAGCACTAATGCTGGGAGGGGGAGGGCAAGCGAAGAGGGGGCGGTCTGAGGGGTGGGGGCTTGGAGGTCTGTGGCAAAATTTTAAATCAAAACGGTGGTTCTCAGTTTCTAAAGTTTGAGAACCGCTGTGTAGAGGGGTGTGTGTGAGACTTGGGTTTAGCTACTACTGAGCTGTAGCTCTGCAATGGCTTTTTGTGCTGCCTGTACTTTTAAATGAAGGAATAGGTAGATGAGTGATGTGGCAAAACTGTAGATGCTGCACAATTATTTAGGATAACTAAGATTAGAAAAGGGAATTAAACTCAAGAGTAACCAAACAAAGTGGTGCAATTGGGCAGGGTAATGTCAAATAAAGTTCAGTGTAGGTAAGCGTAAGAGAATGCATATTGGCAGAAATAATTCAAGTGCTCAAACGTGCTGATGAGTTTTAAGTGTAACCACTCAAAAAGGTTTCAGAGTGGTAGCCGTGCTAGCCTGTATCAGCAAAAAGAACGAGGAGTACTTGTGGGTTTTAGCCCATGAAAGCTTATGCCCAAATAAATTTGTTAGTCTCTAACAAAGTACCCCTCATTCTTTTCACTCAAAAAGGAAGACCTAGCCAGCAATGTGGACAGCTCAGTGAAAAGATCTAAATGCATTGTGATGGTCAAGAAAAGCAAACAAGGTTTTTAAGGTGAGTGAAAAATAGAATGGAAAATAATTCTGATATTATCCCATTATATAAATTGATGGTATACCCTCACCTTGAAAACTTTGTTCAGTTTTGGTTAACACATCTCAAAAAAGCTAAGATAAAGTAGAAATGGAAGGGGATCAGAGAAAGGCAATAGCAATTCTTAGCCCCACAGCAGGGCTTCTGTCTGAGGAGATACTAAAGTATACAATTTAATCCTTTTACAGTGGACACATAGAGGTGACTTGATAGAGATATGTAAAACAATGATGTAAAGAAGGTAAATCGGGCTCCTAATTACCCCCTTTTCCTTAATGCAACAACAAGGTGAAATTTCAAATAAAAGGCTATTAACAAATTTAACACTTAATAACCATAGCTCTTATCCCTGGGGATGCCTTGTTGTTGGTTGGGGAGTGAAAGTCTCATACTATATCTCTTTCCTAGCCCCCTCCCTTTAAAGTTTTTCTCCCCCTGTACATACTTCAGAGCCCCTCTCTTTTGCTTTCCAGAGCTTTCCAATGCAGGAAGAGAGTGGTGAGGATATGATTCTTGTTAGTTTCACAGCTGCTCAAGGAGTTCTGAATAGCATTAGTGAAGCTAAACAGAATCTTGTTAACTTCACTCTTATACTGTTTGGGAAGCTAGGAGCAGCAGCAGTGGCACTGGATCTGTGTGCATAGTCAGGAAGATACCAACTGTGAACTGAGGCAACAATGTCTTTGCAACCAAAAAGAATAGATGCTTAATTTCTTCAGAAGTTGTTGGTACATAGCATTGTTCTACTGTGAGGAAAACTTGGAGTGTTGTTTCCTGTGCCATACTTGCTTTGTTGATAAAAAGAGGTCTGTCAGCCCTTTCATCAGCACTAAATTCATTTAAAAATACATTCAAACTGCCTTGAAATGAACCTCTTTGTCTTTCATTTTACAACTTGAAGTCTAATCTGCCACTCTTTCTGCAGATCTGAGTGAAAAAGATAATCTTAAAGACTGTTGGTCTTTTATTTATATATATATATATATATAAAAATTTTGAATAAAGACATTTGTATATTTACCCATTTTCAGGGTGAATTTATAATTTTGATCTGCTTTGAGTCAAAGAGGTTTTCTTATTTAAGTGATCATTAAAGCCTCAAATTATCAGCCTCTGAGAGTAACATGATCATCAGAGTTCCCCAGTCACATTATCCTAGCAGGAAAGAGTGTTTTCTTCCCAACACCAGCTGGACTGTAGAGAGTGCGAATTAACAAATCAATGGAATGAACAGGGACAGATCTCCACCCTCACCCCCAAGATAAATCAGTGAATCTCATTTTCTTTAATTCTACAAACTTGACATGTGGTGATACCAGTGCCTGGCATAAGGCAATATGTGCCTAGGAAAGTGATGTAACCTGGCATGGAACAGCATTTAGCAGCTTGAATGCTAGAGGGTGTAGAGTCCTGAAGCACTAAGATGGTAACATCTGTGTAGATGTTGGAATGAACTCCACTGACCTTGCAGATGTAACTTGAACTTGCTATTGTGAGGAAAGAGGCTGTGTTGCCTGTGTATCCACTTAGTGTACTTACCTTTATTTCCTGCTGTATCCATCTCTCTCCCTTTCCTACTGCAGAAAGATACAGGGGGATTAACTCTTTCTTTACCACCTGCAGGTTATCATGCAGGCCTGTATGACACTTGGGGTATGTCTACACTATGGGATTAATCCGAATTTAGATAATTCGAATTTGGGAAACAGGTTGTATAAATTCGATTGTGCGCGGCCACACTAAGCACCTTAATTCGGTTTTTAACCACAGTAATTCGGTGGTGTGCGGCCACACTAACCCTAATTCGAATTAACAAAATCGATTTAGGCGCTACTCCGCTCGTCGAGGTGGAGTACAGAAATCGATTTTAAGTGCCCTTTAATTCGAATTAACTGGCTCTGTAGTGTGGACGGGTGAAGGGTTAATTCGGATTAACGCAGCTAAATCCGAATTAAAGTCGTAGTGTAGACCAGGCCTTCGTTCTCCATTACAGAGGAAGGGTCCTAGCTTTCAGTCAGTGTTGTTTCTTATTCCACAGATAACTCTGTCTGCCTGAATAGGGATATGTCTATCAGTGTCCCATTCCTCCTGTGACACTTTCAGATGATACTGTGCCAGCAAGGCTCTTTAGTACCACTGCCAATGGAGCTGGCACCATACACTCTTCTGAGACACTGAGCATGTAAGATTACTTCTCCAGTGCAATTAACACATTTAAAGGTGACTGGAAATGCATTTCCTTCAGACAAATACAGATTGTTTTTCCAAATGATTAAGAAAATACGTACTCAGACTTAAAAATTACAAATAAATAACGTTTTAAAATGAATGTTGCAAATCACCTCCTACGCTCACAGTAGTAGCCAAGAGTCAAGTTAATTGTTCTTCGTTTGTCTGCTACAGCCAATGACTTTCTAAGCACCTAAAGCAGTATAAGGAATATAAATGTGGAGCTTCTTATGATTCTTCTTGCTCTGCCATCAGATATTGTAAGAGAAAAACAGAAACCTGAGGCTCTGAACTTGAGTCATAGCAGGTAGACCTTTTTAAAATGCATCTTGAATTCTAACTTTTTATTGCATACAGAGATATAGTCTCAACTGTAGCATCTTGAACTATTGCACTTTCTAGCCTGATAAAGGTAGATTCTTCTGTCTTCTTTACGTTTATCGGTTTCTCTCTCCGCTGTAATAAAAATGCCTTGTGTTTCCCATTCTTCCTCTGAATTCTGCCTCTGGCATTGAAAGTGCTGTGCATATTGTTGCATTGCCATTTTGTGTGTTCCTATTAATCAGCACTCTGCTCTTTGTCTGTGTCACATACAGAGCAGGGAACAGAGTTCAGCCAGGAAGGAACACACCAGCAGCATTGGAATAAGTGGTCAGTACTTCTAAGCACCATCAAGGGAATGACAGTGGTCTGCAAGGCTCCTACTAAAGACTTATTTGTCTGTTTAAATTAATAAACATTCTGCTGGCAGGACAGTTTGGATTTAGATGTTTTGGGGTTATTTTTATCGCTAGTTGAAAGCTCTGGAAGCTCTGACTAGTGTTCAGAAAGATTTTTGTCTGCATTCTGGAGCCTGCCTTTTAACATGCAGTGTGTTTTTTGGGTGGGCAGTCTCTTGCAGGCCTAATGGTCTGGTGAAGCCACCCTGTTTTTTAATGTATTTAAATAAATGGCTATCTGAGGATCTCTTAATGAAGTGGGTTCAGACTCCAAAAAGTAGGTGAATTTCTGAATACCTGATCCTGTAATATGCTGAGCACACTTCACTTCCATTACCTTGTAGGATCTAAGTGAAGATGGCACATCCTAGAACCGAGGAAGATTCTTGCTATGAATAAAGATTCTAAGGGACATTGCTGACATTAATTTCTGGATACACAGATCGTTACTACATTGTCTTCACTTACTGCATCAAGTGCCAAAACTCCCATTACAAACACACAAGGAGCATTTCCTCTGCTTCTTGATGCTCTGCCAGCATCATGGCACCCTTAAGCTCACATATGGC